CCCGATCAATTTTTCCCGAGAAGTCGGGCTTGGTCACAGCCTGCTCCCACGTGTCGCAGGCATAGTCAAAGTATTGGACAGCCGTGGGAACAAGCTCGTCGAGAAACTCGGCGGAGGCACAGAACCCATCGACCACAGCCTTACGGTAGTGATCGAGGAAAACCGCCCCCGCTGTGGACTTCAAGAAGGTCCGTCGGCCTTCCTGAATTCCGTTCTCCCTCTCGACCAGAACTTCATCATTTGCCTTGACCAAGTCGACCCTCAGCCTTTCGGCCTTACGAACGGCCGCGTCCTTGTCAGAGCGGAGTTTGGCGATGACGGCATTGGCGGTCTCAAGCTCCTCCTCCTTGGCCGCAAGCTCGTTACACTTAGTCGTGTACTTCTCCCTGAGAACCTGGATATTGGATTCAGGGGAGGTCGCCTTCTCGATCATAGTCGGGAGGATGCAGGTGAGAAGCTAAAGAAAGGACAAACAAACAAAAAATAAGAAATCGACGCAACACCAAAAAAAGTCATGAGAGAAGCAAACAAATATAAGATTAAGCTTACCCGAGGAATGAGCCGAGCTGCGTAACGGGCCCGATGATAGGGGTTGCCGTCGGTCTGGACTTTGTCGTCCTCAGGAAGAACCGACTGAAGATAGTTAAGAATCTGGAGGGAGTCAGGGTTGTCATAGAGCCGAGAGGGTTGTTGGAGGGTTACCGGTTGAACCCTCACGGGTGACGGCTGCCCTGCACCCTCCCCGACTGGGGGCGTGGTCGTGTCGACCTCAGCTGTCGATTCTCTCCCCTTCGGGCGTTTTGAAGAGCCGGGGGCCAAAGCTTTGTCCCTCTGGTCGTGAGACCTCTTGTGAGAAGGACCCGACGGCTTGCTCGGTACAGAGGCCGAAGGGAGGACAACTTTAGACTTCTTAGCGGCAGTCGTCTCGACCACCGCCGACGGAGAAACAGAACTCGAGCCGCCTCCAAGCTCTCGAGCAACCGATGCGTCAGCTGCTCCAACCTTCTTCTTCTCAAAACGGGCCAATGCTTTTACTAAAAGAAAGAAAACGATCAATACCGACAAACACACCAGCCGTACATATATTCCAAGACAATCAAACTCAAAAACACGAAAACAAACAACCAGTAAATAAATCGGAGCAAAAGACGACAAACAAAGAAGCTTACAAGGATCGTTAAGACGAGGAACACCTTGGTCAATGCAAATACCAACATGATTAAGTAAAGAAGTATCTTTGGTAAGACGACGAGCGCTCCATATGTGTTTATTTAACTCTTCTAGCATGTCAGCAAACTGGGAAGAATCGGGACGCTTACGTTGCTTTGTCTTAGTGGTAATCCACTCATTCGAAAAGGGATATTGGCCAGGAGCAGGTCGAATGAAGAAATATTTCTTCTTCCATTCGGTGATATTGGAAGAGAGGTCGTCAAGGAAAGTAACGCCTACTCGACGGCCCAGGCAATGGGCGTCTTTGGTAAACCTATACCCGTAGCAGTAAAGGAAAAACTCGGTTAAAAAATTACCTAAAACTATGCGGGTAACAACTATGAAAGCTACCATTATTCGAATGGAATTGGGGGTGAACTGGTTTATTGGTATATCGAAAAGGTTACTTAACGACAACAGTTTAGGTTGAATCGGGAAACGCAATCCCGACATTATTTGGTCGACGAAGAAATAATAACAACCCCTGGGAGGGTAACGAAAGTCGTCTTCAGGCGTTGGGGCAACCAGGGCCCAGTCAGAAGGAAGACCACTGTACTCTCTGAAGCCATCGAATTCAGCTGCAGGAGCATAAGAAAACAATATTAGGAACTGAGCCATATCAAGGCTCGATCAGGGAAATCACTACCAGCAAGTGAATAAGGCTTGTTTTATATAAAAGGACGCCTAGAAGAACCTAATAAAGAATACCTCAAGGAATCAAGTCGAGGCGAAAAGATGTGAAAGTTCGAGAAACGTCGGGATCCTCATAAAGGGCGCCCGAAAGCAACGCCTGATTGTACACGTTCCAGTCAATACCAAAAATGAGACATTGGAGTTAACAGAATCCTCTGGTCCAATGTTTTGATAACACGAACCAGCATCGACTTGGTGGACGGAGTCCGAACCCGAGTAGCCATCGATCTCACGGGCCAGGGAACCCGAGATAGGGTCAGAAATGGGGTCGAGGTCGGGATCTAAGAAAAACAGAAGAGAATCAGTAGACAGGGGAAGACGCGACCGAGATTCGACTCTAAAAAGGTAAGGGTCGACAAAAGGATCAAAAGAGCAACCTGGCAGCAGGAAAGAAAGAAGAAGCAAGAAGAAAAAAAAAACTCCTCACGTCGACTCGATTGAACAGGAAAGGTCGAAGCATGGAAAGAGATCCCTCATAACGAAACGGCTAATAGATGAAAACACTTGGAAGAATGGAAAGTCTACAATTGAGGATCTAATGAGAAAATCACCAGAAATTCACGAAAAATGCCCAGAACATCTGATGAACGCCCAAGCCCAAAGCATATTACCCAGAAAAACAAAAAGTTCTTGTTTCAAACGCATCAACAAATCGAAAAGCAAAGAAAACTTACTCATACTCATGGTAGTTGGTTGGGAAGTCCTTAAAATTCCAAGAAAAAGCATCGGAAAATGAACGGAACGCCGGAAGCTTGGGATGCTGTCATTGCCGGAAAAACAGAAAATCTGAAGAATCTCGAATGCGAAAAGTGAAGATGGGGAAAGGGAAGAGATATTTATAGGGAAAATTGGAAAACCCTAACCCTCAGATTAAAGTCGTATTCAACGGCTGAGATGAGGCACGGAATACGAAGCGGTGGAAAGAGAATGTCTTATATTTTGAATTTTGAAATTTGAAAAGACTCAAACCTATCCAACCGGCCCGAAGTACTCATAAGATAAATACCATCTTGTAAACCGAAAAAGTAAATAGGTACAACAAAGAATGACGACAGACGACAGGATATGATAGAAGACTCGAGGAAGACATCCGGTCGACAAAGTTTACTCTTAAGCTCAGAATCGCTTCGAGTAATTTTAGGGGGGACTAAATGATATAGCCACACTGACGTATAACGGTCCATATCATTACGGTTTAGAGGTCACCGAGTCGACTCGGGCAAAGTCGACTCCGCTAATAGGCTCTTCGCGATGCTCATGATCAAGGGTCCCGGCACTCATCTAAGTCAACATGCATATGTCGACTGACATCAGTCGACTCGCTCCAAGACGATGGTCAAGCATGGTGGGATCCGCCAACGGTTGAATATGATACAGTCGACTCGAGTCGATAACTCAGGTCGACTGAAGAGGCCTCGCAGTTCATAGATCTCGACAACTCAGATATACTTCAGCGTATCAAGGGAGAGTTAAGGATAAGGACGAAGCTAGGGAAGGATCTAGAAGCTGACTAAGAAATGGGCGGAAGGCGAACCGACCGGGGTAACGTGGACATTTCCAGTAAGTCGGCCGGGGCATTTTGGGGACTCCAGGTAAATGTTTTACCTCTATATAAAAGAGGTGAGATAACTCCAAAACCCTAACTTCTATTCATTACATATTCTGATATATTACTGCTGCTCTAGGAGCGGCTCTCCTCACCTTCTCCACATATTGACTTGAGCGTCGGAGGCTCTACGCCGGAGAACCCCTCCGGTGTTGAGTTTTTGCAGGTGTTCTTGCGGTTCCACAACGATTCGAAGGTCATCAAGTTAGATCTGAGCTCATCCATACCGGTTCATCCCAGATCCGAACGATTTCTCACCGGTTCGTTCTAGATCTGAGAAAAGACCCATCAATAGGGTTGGGTTCACATTAAAATGGTGCTTAGTGAAAAGAAATGAGAACAAATCGTAACTATCAAATCGGACGATCTAATAACTAAAATAAAGTCAAAATTATACTCTCATTAAAGATAAATTGTAATTTCTACACAAATAATGGGACCTACCACATCACCCACTCTCTCATTACCTCTCTCTCTCTCTCTCTCTCTCTCTCTCTCTCCAGACACACACACACATACAAGCCATGTCATCACCACACACACACACCACACGCACCCACACACACGACACACGCACACACACATTTGTGCACACACACGAACGTAACTCCAGTCACGTCGCCGCCGCCGGGCGTCACGCCATACGCCTTCGTCCTCCATATAACCTCGTTCGTCACGCCGTACGCCGTCGTCTTCTTCACGCAGGGTCCTCACACTGTCGCCAGTAACCAAAAAAAAATCCAACAACCTCCAGCTCGCCTTCCCTCCAGCGATGGCTCGTAGGCTTCCTCAATATCGAGAGAGTGAGCAACTAGGGAGGTGCGGCAGGGTGGAAATCCGCCACCGGTGGCTAAACGGATGCGGAGCTGCTTTGTGGGCTGAGGGCTAGTGTTGGAAAATTTAATAAGTTATAAGGATTGATTTACAAATTTTAAGAGTTACAGTTATTTGCAATTAAACCATTGGGGTCAATTTGTGAATTCTTAAAAATCTAACTTTATTCCAATTTAGTACATAAGTCAAATTTGTAATTTACAGAAAATATATCATAACATATTATTTTGTATATATTTTTAAACATATATAAATTATGTACTATAAATACAAAATAATATAAAATTATTATATAAAAATATTAAAATCTTAAATATATCCTTAAAATATAAATGTGTATTAAATTTGCAAATTCAAATTAGAGATTTAGAATTTCATTTTTTTTAATTAGACCGTGTGATGAACAATCCTGCGATTTATTAGTTTTGTTTATTTTTCTAATTAAGTTTTTGACCAAATATATAATTTATAGCAATATTCTCATAAACACATATTAATGATAAATAAGGTGTACAATGTTCAAAATTTTTAATATCTCAAATTCTAATATATATAAAAAAGTATTAAAACAATAAAAAATCATTTATAGTAATAAATAAGAACTTATTTAAAATATTAAGGTTTATTCGATATACAATTATATCTACTAAAACTAGTTTTAAAAAACACATAAGACCATATTAAGTAGTGCATTTAAAATACCAGCATGTTATGCATTATAAATCACGATGTTGCACTTTATAAAACAACACGTTGCACATTATCACCACACTACAAAATTAATATCAACAGTTTTCGTAAAAAATATAAATCAATATTAATACAAGTCTAACGCTCGCCCGACCGAGAACCGCAGCAAACACAACTTCCTCCACCGGTCGAACGCTGAACCTGCACGAAAACTCTCACACCGGAGGCATTTTCCGGTGAAGAGCCTCCAACGCTCAAGTCAGATCCTGAGAGATAAAGGTGTATATCAAAATCTTAAGCAAATTGGAAGTTATCCAAAAGCGATAATCCTCGTCCCTATTTATAGGGACGAGTTACCTGTT